CAATTTTTCCGCGGATTTTTTCGGTTTTTTTCCTAAGGGTAGAAAAATTCATTTTGGAAAAATTCACGCGTGTCCGTAAAATCTACCACGTTTACTTCTCAGTCTTTCCATAAAGAAAATAATTGCGTATAGGGTACACAGCAGGATAAGTTAACAGAAATTTTGAAATTGTATAAAAGATTGAGGTCGCATAATATAAGCGCATAATATTATTTATTATTTTAAGCATATTAAATAATATTATGCGCTTATAGAGAATATATTCAATAAAACATACAAAACATACACTATTGCACCATTAATGTAAGAATTAAAAATATAGAGTCCAAACATCATGTTTATATGGTAATAGTAGGTCTAGAAAATTTGGATTTAAACTGAATTCGTAACAAAATATTTGAAAGAAAATAAACTACGAAGAGACACTTCAGGAGTTCGTTAGACCGAAGTGTGACAAACTAGAATTGAAAATCTGTCTACTTAAGCTTTGCCATGTACTAAAGGAAGGTTAGATTAAGTTTTACTATAAAAATAGAAGAATAGATAAAAAATTTTATTAAAAATAATGCTACATAATTTCATAGATCGCATTAATTTTATAAAGGAATTTAGAAGTTACTTATTATGTCTTTTACACAACAAAAACAGCAATTTTTCCAAAAAACCAATTTTTCGGAAAAAAAAACCGAAATTTTTCCGGTTTTTTTCCAGCAATTTGAAAAAAGCGACTTTTTTAAAACTATAGAAGTATGTTTACTTATCGTCAGGGAATGGAAAGTTACTTTTTAAAAATATAAACAAGTTACAGTTACTCGTTATCAAGTAGAAAAAGTAACAAATTACCATTACTAGTTATCAATTTGTAAAAGTAACTCGTTACAGTTATCGTTACTTGAAAAAATAACTTTTCATTACTTTTTTAAAATCGATTACCATCAAACACAACGGATGGGTGCCTAGGGGCTGTCTAGTCTCAAGCGCTATGAATGACTTGTATCCAATCGAACCGTGTCCAATCGTGTGCAAAGTAACGATAAAAGTAACTATAAAATTCGTTACCGTTACTAAAAACGGTAACTATGTTACCGTTAGTTACCAAATAAAAAGTAACGCAGTTACCAGTAAAGTTACTAAAAAGTAACTTGTAACTGTAACTTCGTTACAAGTAACGAATTACTTCCATTCCCTGCTTATTGCAAGCTATTATAAAGACTGGATACTTATACAACATAGGCCTCCAAAGGGCGTCCTAAAGATGTACCAAAGAACACGTTATGTCCAAAAGATGTTCCTATAGGATGTCCCTCGGATAAAATGTGCTGTATCATGTATGGAATATTATTCGATATCATATAAGTTAAAATTTAATTGCTTTTTCTGTTTGAATATTACAAATCGTACATCATGGCCAAATCTAGAAAATAAAACGCGATAAATCGAAGAGGAAAGAAATATAGTGCACTGGGCATCATCATCTAAATATATCTGTGATTGCTTATAAACGTCCTAGTCTCTTCGTTGTTGTGGTGTCATTAACAGATTCTTACAATTAGGAGACATATATATTATACATACATATATACATATGTATATATAATGTATATATACAATGTATATATATAATGTATATATACAAAGCGATACACGATACTTTAAAGATATTAAATAATATATATTAATTCGCGTATAATCTGCTTTTTCAGCTGCACAGAACGAAATTGAAAATGAAACGAATATCTGGCGAGTCAGAGAAGTACAATATGTGGTGGAAAGTATAATTGACTGAGAAGGATTAAGTAATTTCTTCATTTAGCCGAATTAAATAGGTGCACTTATTAAATGTACATAACAAAATGTGCAGTCCTTCGTAAAATGGCACTATCGCGTGAACTTCTATATCTAGGGACTCAATCTTCTCGAGAAACGAGATACGATATACATATATTAAATTACAAATATATTTTCTATGCGACATTATAGAGATTGCACTCGTTGCAACCGCAACGTCCTGTTGATCTAATTATGCGTTACACCAATGTTATTTTATGCAAATGAAAAAGCTTAACAAGAGTAAGGAAGCATAGAAATCAGTCGTTTATTTTCCAAATGAAGAATAATTACAGCCAATGTTAATTTATATGAACCATTCCAATTTTATTGAAATTCTTTACTAATTGTATGTTTATTATAACTGTCCATAATTGTTCTCAATGTATTCGTCTCCGATATTTATTTTCATATTTATAAATTTAATATTATATTTACAATGGGTGCATTCAGTACCACGGTCGCTCACTAAGCGCTCAGTGAGCTCTTGTATCTGTTTGGTTTATATACTATATTTAGTTCTAACAGAATATGCCAATCAGATGCAAAAGCTCACTGAGCAATGAGTGTTGTAGTACTGAATGCACCCAATAAATCAACAAACCAAAAGCGATATATTCCCATTTCAAATTCTTATTACTATTACATTTCTATAATAAAAAGAACTCGAGCGGTTTCGAAGTCTTATAAAAAGAAAAATCAACCCGAAAAATTATAATATGGGAATAATATATGAAAAAAATAATAAAAAATTATAATATGGAAATTACAATACACGATACAAAAGAAAAACGTTGAAACGAGAAAAATCGCAATGTTAAAAACAATCAAAACTCAGTTAATTGTATTATAATTAACACATTAATTTGTAACATAATTTTTTAAAGTATATAGATATGATATATACATATATATATATTATATATGCTTCACATGAACTAAAAATATTCTTAATCACAAGAATAATTAACAGTAACTTCTACTAATTTTATGCGAAAAATTGTAAAAATTATTTATATCATGTCGAAATTAACAGGTTATAACTGAATGAATTATGTTTTAAAAATCTAATTAATAAGCATTTTTCAACCGCAAAAAAATATTTAATTTTCTGAACATAGAATTTAAAGAAGAATAACCCTGATGAAAATAAAAATCGGAGCTATATTATTTCTAACCAGACTTATAAATAATATAGATCGAAATTATTAAAATTTCTTCCAAAATTATATGAAAAATATGTATTATTGGCATAATTGAACTTATATTAAAGTATACTAAAAGTGTGAGTATAGAAATTGTTTCTTATTGTACAGTGAAAAACATATCAATATAAAGAAGTGTGTTTAAAACAAGTACGTAGCGTAACATTATGTGGCCAGTATCAATATTTATTAAAATTATATGAGATTAATATTTTTACCCAATCCCTTCTTTTTTTTATTCACCGGAGATGAATATGTGTTAAAAACAACCCGCGAGAAGGATGCTGCTTAGATACAAGTCAATTAACTGGAACTACCATAGAATATTTTCTTCTTAAGTGTGTCGTGTGTAATAAATGTTTAATGTAAATTAATGTAAATTATTGTGTAAGAAAGTAACAGAATGAGACCGAAATTTTTTATCGTAATTTTATAAATGCAATATCGAGAACAGCGTGATCGATTAATGGCAATTGTAAGAAAAAAACAAGATACATTAAAAGTATATGAGATGATGCGTTTAAATAGAAAGTTTAGCAATCTAAACTATCTGTTTAATACATTAAACCGTGTATTTTTTACAATATTATTTTAATTCAGTCTACAATTACTTGTTTTATTTCTTAATGGATTGCAAATATAAACTTTGAGACTGTATGCTTAAAATTTTTATATATTTTAAGATATATTTAATGCTTGCATATAATATAAAACAATTAAATTAAAAAAATTAATATATCCAAAATTTATAACGTGATCATCTTATTAAATCTTTATACTAATTTTACGTATTTAATTCCATTAATCTTTTAACAGCAAATATATCTTAGAATTGCTATTAAAATCGATTATTTTCAAAGCGTTCTTGAAGGCCAAAGCACTCAAGCGAATTATTCTAAATAATCTCATCAGGGCAAAGTATTATTATTAAGAACATTTCTAAGAGAACGGTGCCTGAAAAACCGAACACTGTTGCAAATCGGCAGCAAAGTATGCGAAATGACATCGTAAACTATATAAAGTATACGAGATAAATCTTATCTTTGTTAGGAAGAAAGAGGGTATGCATTATATTTGAATGTATATAATATAAAATCCTGCTCACATATTTAAAATAAAAATACGTGTAATATATAAACTATACGTTCTTCTTATTATTAACTTTATTATTAAATATATGATTTTTTATTAAAAATATATTAAATTAAAAAAATATTGCGTACTTTAAATATGCCGATAGATTTTTTAAACTGATTTTACACATTTGTATATTTAATAATTTTAGAAAATATTCTTTTTGAAAAAAAATTTAAAGAAAATGATTATCCGAATTTTTCTGCGAAAAAAATTTTTCGCAATAAAAGTTTCTTATTTGAAATGACTGAATGTTTCGGCTCGCGATTATTAGCATCTCAGATTGAGTGTGTTTAACTTTCTGAGGACCGGCATGTTTTTGATCGACTTCTTCATTTTAAGGGCTAGAACTTTTTTATCAACGGCTGCGTTCAGCAGAAAAAGCAGCTTTGCAAAGCAGTTTTCTCTGCTGAACGCAACCAATATCATGGGGTTGAGTCCGGTTGAGTGGCGAAAAAGGTGGTGTCACTGTCGAGTCTCTAAAGGGGCCTCCGGTCCTCCAGAGGTTAAATGTCCAAACGTTTCGGCGCACAGTCACATCTGAGATAAATTTAATTCATCCAAGAATATTATATTATTCAAAACATCTAACTTTGACCGATCCTTGGCGCTCTCTACCATATTTATGTTGTAAAAAAATGAGTTTTAAGGAATAATGGTAAAATATCTTAAAGAAAATCACTTACATTTACTAGAAAAATCAAAACAAAGCTATATATTTTTATTATCAAATTTTATTATCAAATAGCGATGATGAAGAAATCTTATTGATTCAAGGTATCAATATTAATTAGAAAAATGAATAAAGTCAAAACTGTAATTTGCTAACACAAATATCAATAATCAAGCTATATCGAATCATTGAATTTCTAAATAATAAATATAAAAAAATTTATAATCATTTTATTTCATTTTAATAAACTACTAACCTAATAAACTATTATCTAATTTTCTTTCACAAATATATATAATTATTATATATACATAATTATTATATACACATTATATAATAATACTGACAAATAGTCAACATATTATCCTTTGTATCCAAAATTTTTACATTAACATTTTAATTTAATTACAAATATTAAAAGTTATTACATTATACAAAATTATGTTTAAATAAATATTTCAAGTATTTTTTTCAATTTTTTCAAGTCATTTTCAAAAACTCAAAAACTTAACAGATCTGCATGTGTCTTGAACTCCTCTTGAATTATTTTTTCGATTCCTGGTAATATTATATTGTTTGGAGTTATATTAAAACTAACATATATTGCTTTTCCAAACTTCATGCTTAATCTCTTAGCCATGTTTGTGGATGTAGCATCTGCTGTAGAACCCATGATTTTGGTTGCAATAGGCTGTTTCTCAAAACTTGATGTGAGAGCAAAAGACAAATCTCCCATGCTGCCATTAACAGAATCTCCAATCCACAGATACAAAGAATCTTCCATCCTTATTATTTGGCAATTAATATTAGTATCACTGACTTTGGCAACAAAATTATGAAATTTGAAGCTGCATGGTAGTAATTCTACTCCGGATCTTTCCTCTGTTGCATTTGCCATCATTTATACATATACTTTGGTTCTCTCTCTTACCTATAATCATATAATTTTAAAACATCAAAAAAATAAAAACCAAAAGCACGAAAGTACATTTAGAACAATAATAATTATACAGAATAGGTAATTATCCAGAAGACGCTCATTTTCAATTTAACTGAAATTATGCTCATTCGATGCATTTTTACATTAAACGAAAGAATCTGGCAAAAAATGTTGTGCTCAGTCCCACGAAGCAAGATATTAATCGTTAGTTTTTTTTATCGTTAAAGTTAACTATTGTTAAGTTAGAAAATGTCACATTGAAATAGAAAATACTTTTTCTCATGTCCCTCTATGCCATTGATGGATCAAATTTCCTAACCTGAATAGTTGTCAACTTTAACGATTAATACCTCGGTCCACGGGATAGAGTGTTTGATGACATGTTTTTGCCAGATTCGTTCATTTCGTGCAAAAACGCGTCGAATGAGACTAATTTTATTAAAATCGGAAGTGAGGAGGTTAAACTCAACAATTATCTAATAAGAAATAACCTAAGTGATAACCTTGATTTTCACGCAATTGAAATATACAAAATTTGGTTGACTTCTAAATTGAATAGCTGAGTAGGTTTAACAATTTTTATTCCAATATATTATGTACTTTTATGCTATCATGATACACACTTATCTTAAGGCTATGGCACATAAAAAAACTTAAGACTTAAGACTTAGGCGTTGTCTACAATATGCGAAGTAAGCTTGGTTTAAAAAGTAAGAGTAAGAAATTGACCAGTCACAGTCGAATGTAAGAAGAATAATCGACTCTGATTGGTCAATTTCTTACTCTTACTTCTTAAACCAAGCTTACTACGTGTATTGTGGACGGGCCATTAATGCGTTGTCTACAATGGCAGTATCAGTAATGGATGAGACTGTAAGAGTAACAAATTGACCAATTACAGTTGAATGTAAGAAGAATAATCGACTGCGATTGGTCAATTTCTTACTCTTACAGCCTCATCCATTACTGATACTGCCATTGTAGATGACGCATAAGTCCGGATCTACAATAGGTATTTTAAGCCTTAAACCATAATAATTTGACCAATTACAGTCGAATTCGAAGAGAATAATTGACTATGATTGGTCGATTTCTTATGGCTTAAGGCTTAAAACTCTATTGTAGATCCAGACTAACCGTTAACTTATATAGGATTTCCCCATAGGATTTCAATGCTTTCGTTCATACTAACTTGCCGTATTAGTTAGTCAAATCGATTTCATTATCATTTCTCACTGGGGATGCATCATTTGTCTTCGTTGTTTACCAATTACTAAAGAAGGATAAAACGATACATCGTGCGCTTCATGCGTAACTCGGAACGCATCTATTGTGGCTGTGTTCCAAAATTGACTGCTACTGAAAATCTATAGTGCAAGTACTAAAAATCTATAGTGCACGTAACGTAAACTATAGCATTTTCAGTGCTGACGGTAAATTTGGAACACAGCCTATATCAGCTAGTACGCATTATACCAGTTGAGACAATTTGATTGGCTTAGGCAAGTTACGCTGCATGTGAAAGCAGCCTAATGCTGGAATCCCATGAGGCGTATTTGCCGCGTATCGCGTAACCAATCAGAAGCGATCCGCTGCTATGATTTCGTGTCTTAGAGCCTAAGAACAAAGATGATCGTAAGTCCGAATCTACAATAATAGGTTTAATGTTTTAAGACTTAAGCCGTAAGAAATTGACCAATTACAGTCGAATCCGAGGGGAATAATCGACTGTGATTCGCTCATTTCGTATAGCTTAAGGTTTAAAACACCTATTGTAGATCCAGACTGTTACGGCCATTATAAATCAGACTTTCTTCTTCTAAATTTGTACAAATGCGTATTGTATGTACGCGATAAAAAGTACCGGTTTCCCCATGAGGAGTACTTTTCGAGTTGCGTAGGTTACGAAAACCAATCGTAAATTCGTTTAGCATTTCTGTTAGAATGTACAACAGAAATTTTAATCAGCAATTGGTTGCATTAGTTCCGCATTTCTCTAATCTTCCGCGAAATACGCCCAATGTGAATGCCGGCTTTCAGAATGGCGTATTTTAGTAAATAAAAAATAATTCTAGTAAATTACTAGAATACGCAGGTTAAGCTTACGCAGGTTACGCCGCATGTGACGGCACCCTAATTGTTTACTTATGCGTTATATAGTCATGTACATTATAGGTTATAGGAATATGCCTACGTTACAATATTTTCAATTACCACATTAATTTTACAACTTATATGGAATAATAATATTTTATAATAATATTGAATCATTATTATCTAAATTTAGTAATTTGTACTTACAAACATACAAGTATCACACACATATGACACATAATGGAGGTCGTCATGTTCTTGCAAATGCTCGAAGTTCGCGCATCTCTTACTTGAGAATCTCTAGGATTATCCTCATCCTATCTCGTTTCTGTCAATATTCCGTTCCGTGGTTTCTTTCTCCATGGGAAGGCAGCCTTACGTTTTTATATGTGCCATAGGCTTTTGCCTATTCGCCCAGATGGCGCAGAAACACAATTTTACTTTTCACAGAGGAGACTGTCCATACATACTCTGATTCCTCCTTGTTCGCTTCGGCCCTCGTCTTTCTCTGGTTTTACTGTGCACGTGTAGGTGTTAAATGTTGTTTTAATTGTTAAAAAAAAAAAATGAAAGTAAAGAAAGAAGATGCGACATTCAAGCAGTTGGTCTTGAGAAAAAATACCAAATACAAACAGAATATATCGAAGCCAAAAGCCGGTGCCAGTCTCGAGAAAGCTGTGAAAAATGTCAAGCAAATTTTTAAGGTAGACATAATCTACATAAAATAAAAAACGTATTTATGATACGTTGCTTCATATCAAAAATTTTTGGAAGATCAATGAAACTAATGGCCACTGGCCTTTTTTGCTTATTAGAATTAGAATTTTAATAACCAAATGTTTTATATATATATATATATATCCCTTAATACACACCATTGCATTATTAAGACTGCGTCATTAAGACTGAGTTATTAAGCGTTAAAGTTCGAGACTTAGAGGTTAAGATATCTATCATCCCCCCCCCTTCGATTTGATACAACGCTATGTATACCACTGACAGGATAGCAGACAAATTGAGTATTTCTGATTTATTTATGTCTATATAATTTGGGAATCGTTTGGAGAAATTTAGGAAAAATATTTAAACATTTGGGTAGTATTTTTCTTGTTATTAACAAATTTTATCGTGCATCAAGTTAGCAGTTATATTTTTATCAAATTTTGCGGTGACGTGTGTATTCTAAATAAAAAAAAAAATTACCATATTTTTGTACTTTTCAAATTAATAAAATTCAAATCAATAAAATCCTTAATATGAATTTATATTGCATGAATAGTAAATGTTAATTACATTTAGCAATAAATGTTCTTTTTGCAGAAAAAGAGAGCAGAGGCTAAAGCAGCCACGAGAAAGGAAGAAAGTTTAATAAAACTTAAACCTAAACAATTCAAACCACAGAAATTTAAAAATAGAGGAATAGTTTACATAGGACACATACCTCATGGATTTTATGAAGAACAAATGAAAGACTATTTCAAACAGTTTGGGAATATAACGCGAGTACGAGTGGCAAGATCCAAAAAAGTATGTATATGTCTATAAAATGAATTATAAACTAGAACAATAAAATGTAAATAATGTGACCACAAGAGTCATCGCTGAAGTATTTAATGGGCAAATGCAAAAAACAAAACTTAATTTATTTAACCGACATAAATATTGGATCGTAACTATGTTAAAATTATATTAAACAGCTAAGCGTACGTTTTGGTTATGTATTTTCAGCTATTCTCAGTAAATCTACTAAAATATAATAATATACAAATACCTTATATTTCATTAATATAAATTCTTCTTGCGAATGCTATAGTTCATGAAAGAAGCAATCAATAATTTATCACAAAATCGCTCCAACACAGTTACACAGCTGGTTGGCAGAAACACATGAAGCATAGCAACATATTTTTACCAATTGCGAAGAAACAAAAGACCTTAGCGTCATGATTGTGATAGTCATCTATTAATAATGCGAAATTTTTTCAAGTAAATTAAATTAAATAATTAGTGACTGTATATATATATATATATATATATATGATACAAACATGTCACTGCCATTTAACATCCAAAGTTAAAAAAAAGACTCCCATTATTTGCGTTTTATTATTCTAATTGAATACGGGAATCCATTATTATTGTTAATTTTTGAATTGTAAACTGTTTTATAATTGCAATAAGTTTTATAAAAATATATTTTTAGACTGGAAAAAGTCGCGGCTACGGTTATGTTGAATTCCTCCACTCACAAGTTGCTAAAATTGCGGCAGACACTATGAACAATTATCTCATGTGCGGTCGATTATTAAAAGGTATTTAAAATTGTATTAATACTGTCAATTAATTGTCTTTCATTATTTATAAGTATATGTTTTTTAGCTACATACATTCCACCCGAGAAGCAACATTCTGGATTTTTCTCTGGCGTAAATTGGTCAGAAGATAAATATCCTAGACTCAAAAATAGAAAACAGACAACTGTGAGTAAAAACCGTCTTCAAAGTGCTGGAGACCATGAGAAATATGTTCAAAGATCACTTGATAAACTTTCTGCATTAGAAAGTAAATTGCAAAATAAGGGGATCAGCATTAAATTTCAACCCGTTGACGTACCAAAAACGTAACAAATATTTAAAAATGTAATTTAGCTTTATAATTAAGATTTAATTTGTAATTTGTATTTGCATTAAATAAACTTAATAAACAATAGGAAATTATCTTATAATACAGGGCTCTACAATATCTATACCATTGTTATAGTAAAATTTTTAAATTTCTGTAAGTAATTTGTGTGTATCTATAAATTATTTTTTCTCTAAGAACAAGTTCGTAGTTTCTTAATTGTGGTGAATTCGAAAGGTAACGACCTCTTCCGCATATGTATGGGACGTACAGTTTTGATGCCGATTTCGAATGGTTTATCAGAAGAGATTAGTATGTGTGGCAAAGATACTATCGATAATTTATCATTATTTTCCAAGAGATATTGGCTCAAATAAAATCAGATATGTCTTCTGGATGAATATAAACTCGAATTTTTCTTTGGTACAGAGAGTAAACGCGCAATTCTTTACGCCACAATCGTTACAAATATAAATTATATACAATAAAAATCTAAATATATTGAATAACGAACTCTAGGAATATATGTCACGATACAGTGGTTGCTTCCTGTACGTTCACCGTGTTTCCTTTCGTCCGTTTCCATTTCATACGTCTATTCTGAAACCACACTTTCACCTGTAAAAAATATATTTAATGATGAAAAGACAAAATTTCTGTATTCTATTCAATTGTTTATATTGTACCTGGCGTTCCGTCAAATCTAATGCTACAGCAATTTCATAGCGGCGCAAACGTGTCAAATAATTACTATGTGCGAATTCGCATTCAAGATGTCGAACCTGTTGCTTTGTAAATGCGGTTCTCTCTTTCCGCGGTTTATCGCTTGTTCTCTTCGTTGTTTCTACAATCAATAGAATAAAATGAGGAAATATATATATATATATATGTATATACATACATATATATACCAGGTGTCTGAGATCACCCG